TGCAACTGTTAAGAATACTTTCATGTCTTCAGTAGCCAGTTCCAAAGAAGCAGTTGGTAAATTTGAACATTGACTGAATCCCATAATGGCTGGATGAGAGAAAACAAACTGAAGGTTTTTTTTCCAGACAAGATGAGATACTGTTGATAAACAAATGTATTTGACGATTAAGGATCAGGATGTTTGGGTGGGGGGGTCGGTTGCCAGGTTCATAGTCTAGAAGTGCTTTTTCATCCTCAGTTATCAGTAGATGATCTCTCTCTCTCTCTTTTTCCCTCTGTATGTAAGTAAGTATGTATGTATGTATGTGTGCATGTTACTGTTGTTGCAATCGTTGTCAGTTTGAATCAGTCCACTGCAGGATGAAGGCCTCTCTATTGAAGGCTGTGAACTGTAATCTACTATGCTGGTCTAGTGCAGGTTGCTAGATAAATGTTTCTTGACTTCCCAGTCTAGCGCTGAAGAAGAGTGACTAGCCCAATTCACCCAGCTGGCCTCTGTGCCTCGGGGATGACTACTTCCCTGTTCCTTATAGTGGGTGCTTCTATACCACACTGGCTCATATATATTTAACTACTAACTACTGTTACTGCATGGTGCTCTATTTGATGGTATCTTTGAAAAGTATCCAGAGGTTGCCAATTTGTTGGTTTTAATATGTGTTTTTTTTACTTTTCCAATTTCACATTTTTTTAGCTGCCTTGAGTTCTTGTTAGAGCAGAAAGGTGGTGATATAAATTAAAGTAATACTTAGAATCAGTCCTATGTATGATTTAGCCCCAGCACCGATCAAGAAGTTCTGCACAGCCTCCAGCTGAGCATGGGAAGCTGAGAGATAGAGGAAGTATTATTGCATCTATTTCCTGTATCCATATTTGGAGTACTGCTGTTTATGTAGGGACTAGGGAAAAAAGCTTAACAAGGACTGAGCATACACCGTGGTAACTGAATACCAGCTGCCAACTGGGGACAAAAATAAAAAATGGGAGGGGACAGAAAATGGAATGGGGCACATGGAATCCTGAATTCCATTTTCTTTCAGATCCACTTGTACTAATAGTGACAGAGCAGGAATTTGGAACAAAAGTCCAGGCCCCACTTGGTAGAATGAATAAGTGATCCATTCATGATGAGTTCATCATGTATTACAGATGTAAAAGTAGTGCACTAAAGAGGACCCCACTGCATCCAAAACCTAAAATGATACTGCAGAACTGCCTGCTTGGATTCCTCAATATAACATTAGTTTTTTGTTATCAAATTAACAAAGCATGAGAGATCCTCCTTTGTCCATTGGAAGCAGATAGAAACATTTTTCCCCTCTCTCAAAGCACCTAAGCCAAGTTTGTCTGATGAAATTGATTGGCAGGAGGCTCAGGAGAAACAAAACGAAGATCTTTTTCACCACATGCCTATGCACTTAATAGGGCGGGACTTGTTACAGTATATGAGAGTGGCAATGGGTTTAAATGAGGATTAGACCATTCATAGAAAGTGCCAGGGCTGTCTGTCACTTCTCCGTAAGAGGTGACTTGCCTCTGACAAGGCTGTCTGGGAGGTATGACTCCCAGGCTTAGAAGGGCTCTCCTCAAGGAGACCTCTTTGGCCCCATTTGCCTCCTATTTAGGAAAATGGCCAAAACACTGACTAAACTTTTGACTAAACTTTTGACTATTAATTCATTGCAATGATACTGATTCTGACTTTGATTTTAAATGTATTGATTTTAATGTCGTATTTTACATTCTATGTCTTTATTGGTTTTGTTTTTAGCCTTCCTGAGTGCTAATATAAACAAAAATCCAGGACATACATCTAAGGAAAAAAATGGGCATTCAGAGATGATACTTGAGTATGAGAGAGTTAGGGAAGTTTATTCTTCAAGTTTATTCTTAGCTATTTACTCCTTATATGAAATAGTAAATTGCTTATTGCAGCATAATAATTTCCATAGAGAGAGCTAATTTTAAAATCAGCCTTAAATTTTGAAAAGCATTTCAGCTTCTAAAATCATAAAGTTCACTTTGTATGTAAATATACCATGCATCTTGCATGACACTTTTATAAAAGGACAACAGTTCTGTTGCATGGTGAATAATGAGGTACCAACTCCATTAAAATAGTATTCTAATTCATTATGTGAAAAATCTGGGTTTTCTGTAAAGCCTTGTCATCTAGGACAATCAGCTTCATTGTTGCTGTGCTGCATAAGGATATTTTTTACATTTAATTACAGCAGTGTGGATTTTTACTACACATATTCAAATGATCTTCAAAATACGATGAGATTTTTAAGCAAACGTTTGTCATTATATAGCCCTAGAATCACAGAGTTGTAACTGACCTCACAGATCATCCAGTCCAGCTCTCTGGGCAGTGCAGATCTACTGAAGCATTTTGGATGGGTGACTATCCAGCCTTTGTTTGAAAATCTCATGGTTGGTTCCTGGCCAGTTATTGGATAGTAGAGGCACAGTCCATACTGGGGCATCAAAGCACCATTTGAGGAATTTGCAATCAAAATGTGTGATGGAATGGACTTATGAAGGCCAGGCTCAGGGAGATAAGCATGTT